ATTAAAACCACCACCACCAAGGACCGACAACATCATGTCATGAAATAAATGATTCTTAAGTAGGAAAGAAGGAAGGAAGGAAAGAAGGGGGAGGGTATCATCTAAAAATACAGAGGACCTTGTTTTCAAACCTTGAATGAACTCAACTTTGTGAAAAATGTACACTGTCCATATCTTTCTTGTTTGCTCTCTGACAGGCGAGGGACAGTCAGAGAATATCAATGATGTATGAACTAGCATTTGAGAACCACTGACAGCCTCCCCTTGGCATCTCTCTGTGACTGCAGAATAAGAAGGACCCAAAAGCAGAAATGAGACTGCATCCTTCTCCTGTCTGGATTCCAGAAGTCCTCAAAATGAAGTCTCTTAAGATTCTGAAGATGTGATCAGGTCAAAAATTACAGAAAGTCTGTGAGGAGTGGCCAGAATAGGAGCCTTAAATTTATGGTTTTCACACAAGATGTGCATAGAACTCCCAAATAAGAACACACCACTGCCATATGTGAGATATGCCACAGTGACACTTATTGTAAGGCTATAATTTCAGTCTTCAATGAAACTGACAATTATTACTTTAAAGAGGACATAATACACTTAAATATATTTACAGGATTAACACTAGAAACAGTATTAGATTTTCCTGATGCTAACACATTGGCAGCATTTTTCCATTTTGTTTAGTAAAGAATCTGAGCTGCTTATAAATTGATGCTGAAACCCACTGGATGCTTTCAGAGGCTGAAGCAAGCAGCCCCACGTGTGCAGGGAATTGTATTTACAATACCTACTGTTCCTATTTTTCCATTAGAATGCAATTATTCCGCTTGGGAAAAAATAAAGGTCACTGGGTTAATGGAGCTCACCTTTCTTTTTTAGCCCATAAATAATAAATCAAATATAATATTTAAAAAGAAAACCACAACCTGTGTATCATTGTATTTCTGATGCTTTTTCATAGGACATTTGAGTGCACGGCACTTACTATGGCCATAACTGTTACAGCCCATCAAGTTCCCACAGCGTGGGCTCAGTAAAGAAGTACACAGCGTGTGTCTATTAAACTGATATTCATCAATACTAGAACATTCACGAAATTTCCTGACATCTTCAAATCAGATTACAGTACATTCCACTCTGAATTCAAACAGCATCTATCACAGAATGATTTCTCCTAGCAGGTATACAGAAAATTTTAGCAGCTTGTACTGATAAAGATATTCATTTTAAAAATTCTAAACAAACACAGATTTCAAGCACACTCCCTTGCTTCCAGAACGGCTTACCCACAGAACTTGTGAGTAGACAGCAGACAGTGCTCATGGCCAGGCTAATAGTAACAAATGCCTCTAAGCAAGATTCTACTGCCACTAATTTCTCTAATGAAAAAGAACGAAGACTTTTCTGCCAGCAAAGCTGAACAGGGCTCTCAGCCCAAAAGAGCCTAATCATGGCTTTCACTTCAGATCTCCCAAGGGATCAAGTAGGCAATTGCTCGAGAACCTGGCACATCAAGATTCATAGGCACACTAGGAACACATGGCCTAAATAGCTTCAGAAAGTTATTTGTCTTGAGTTATTCAAAAAAAAAAAACCCAAAACTTAGAGCTGTTGGATTACCAACACCCTGGAACTAAGGGGACGTCTCATGAGATTTATCTGAGAAATATTTTTTAAATAATACGGGAATTATAGTACCCCTGAGCCTACTCTAGAAACTGTTAAACACTTGTAAATCACTTTCCAAAAATAATGAAAATGAAAAACTCTGCTTTCCACTTGATACAGGCTTGTGAAACAAAGTACACTTCAATTGCCAACCAATGGAACCACCCACAACTCCTGCCTTATCAAGAACTTTAACAGCATCACAGCACATCCCTGTGAGTAAGCATTTTAACTTCAAATTATGAACCTAGCAATAGACCAGCCAGTCATTTTCATGAACAAGGAGGTATTAATAAGCACATTTTTAAGTTAATTTGATGGGCATGTATCTCTCAACAGCACAAGATTATTTGTTTTGATTGTAATTAGTAACAAAAGTAACAACTACCATTTACTGAGTGTTGTTCTGCCAGGCACTGATCTAATAGTTTTATGTGCATTATCTAATTTAACTCTGGAAAAATCCTATGGTCAGTGATGGGTGACAGAAGACACCACCCCAAAATATGCCACTTTGGCATAAGAATTATTTAAAACTTAAGATACCTTAAAAAGAGCATACGCAAGAAGGGCATTCTAATCTCCCCTTTTCTTCCTAAAAATAGGACACTGAAAACTCCCTTGAGAAGGATGTCCTCCCCGTACCAGGAGAACAAGAAACATTCTTCCCTCAGGAGCTAAAGCCAAGAGAATTCTGTACAAACAGACCTTGTTAAAATAACTCATCTTCCTTCAACCAATATGTTTTAGTTACTTTCCCACTATTGCCTCTCTTTGTTTAACCTGATATAAAAGTATTCAGATTTTGCCACTTCTTTGAGTCTTTATGTCATTATGAGGGTTCCTGTGTCATGTAAACCTTGTAGAAATTTGTATGCTTTTCTCCTGTTAATCTAATGACTAGACACTTAATTTTCCTTAGATTCATTCTCAATGTAAATATTTTTGACTTTGAAACTTATCTAGGCTCCCCCAAAAGGTTTCCTTAACACATTAATCATTTTTATGAATATTATCAAATACTTACTTCTTTACTTATTACAAAAGTTTCATATCTGTTTTACATAAAATTGAAGTGGGCCAATTGGCATTAGTTAAAAGGTAGATTTCCTGAAAAATAAAAACAAATGCATCTCTTGTAGAACAATTTCAGCTCTGATATTTTTCTTACCATGAAAATCTGGGAACGTGTGAAATTTTAAGTGTGCATCATTTTAAGCAAATTATTTTTTAAATAAATTTTGGGCTTATAGAATTAATAAATACTTTCCTTTCACATTATCTGCCAGCCCCAGCAGGATTAATTTGGACAAACTGCTGTATAAAAACAGAAGCTTGGTTGAATGAGTCTTTCGTTTGGAATACATCACGTGCTAAAACAGCAGCATGGTAAACACACACACACAAGGCTGTGCCCCAGCTCCATTCAACACTCAGGAAAAAAGGATGCTTTGTTCTGAAGACAGCAAACTTGGGGCAGAGATGCTGACCTGGATCTGTGATGCTCAGTGAAGGGGGATGATGTTAGTGTAACTGCATACAAAACTGTATAACACTTTTTTATGATTATAATGTTGAAAAAGATGTAGCAGTAAAGATTCAAGGGGGGATTATCCTAGAGAAAGGAGAGTAGCAGGAATTTAAAATCTCTTTGCTTGAGATGGAACATCTTCTGCCTTAGACACTGGCATTGCTAGTTCTCGGGCCTTCAGACTCGGCCTAGGCCTTACATAACTGGCCCTTTGATTCTCAGCCTTTGGAATCCAACTGGGACTTACACCATCGGTCCCCCGGGTTCTCAGGCCTCTGGACTCAGACTGAATTCCTGGCTTCCCTGGTTCTCGAGCTTGCAGATGGCAGATTACTGGACTTCTTGGCCTCCATAATCATGTGAGTTAATTCTTATACTAAATCTACATATAGATATGTAGATATACCCTACTGGTTCTCTTTCTCTGGAAAACCCTGACTAGTACAGATTTTGGTTGAGAAACACCAGTCTGGATGATCTCCAAGTTTCTTATCTTTGGTTGAAAAACCAATGGTTCATTTGCTCTGCACACAGTTGGGGCAGCCCAGTGGCGTGAACAGAGCTCAAAATTCAGGACTCTACTCCCATTTCCGTCACTAACTATGTCACTGTGAGCAATTCATTTAACCGTCCTGGTTCTCCATTCACTAAGGTGTAAAGTGAAAGGCTTTGTGTAGCTGACCTTTGAGGCTCCATCTAACACTACCAGTCACTGATCCCCAGGAAGATCTTGGAGTCCACAAGGATCATCAGGTTCTAAGAGTGCCTCCAAAGCACCGCCCACACTAGAATGGTTCACTAGTCCCAGGCTGGCCAAATCCTTAACTACTGCTCAATTTACCAAGAAATTTTTTTTTACCCACTGATGATAATTCATAATTAATTTAACGATGGTAACGCCATGGAAAAATAAGGTTTGGTTTTTATTGAAAATTGTTAGAAATATATCTGTTATTTCTCCTTTGCCCTTCTCATTGAATTTGTTACCAATAAAATGTCTTGAATCTATCTCCTAGTTGGTATCCCGAGGATCGTTGCCTTAGTCCAGAGTCTGCTCATTGATCTCCCAGCTGTTCTCCAATTCCATGTTGTCCTTTATCTGCTAATATAACCCCCACCTCATCGCACCGGTCATCTATCTAATGTTAATCTGATCCATCGCTCCCCTACTTAAAAACCCTCAAGGAGCTCCACTGCCTGTAGGATTAAGTCCAGACTCTTTTGCAGTGTTTCCAATACCATATCTGACCTCAATCCCAGCAACTGCTCTCACCTCCCAAGACCTCTACACTTAAGGACTTTTGGATTCAAGAATCTCTAAATCCAATCCACCCTTGACTAAATACAGAAATGAACCAAGTTTTATCATTACATAATTAACATAAGCTACTTTCTTAGCCTAAATCTTATCCCTTTTGCATAAAATCTTTTGGAAGCATAAAATTTCTTTAATGAATCAAAAAGAACTCCTTGAATCAGTAACTGTTTTGGTATAATTTCTCTATTTTTTAATACCACTCTACCTCCAGAGCTACACTGTAACTCATTCATTTAACTAGTCAGTCATTCATAGAGCAATCATTTATGAATCTTGTTGTATGTCCTGTACATTGACAAACTGTATATTAGACTATATATTGGTTCTACAATGCTAAGGAAAATGTTTCTTCTAAGCATTTTAACTACTGAAATATTTAATGCTCAAGGACAATACTATAGCATACCATGCTAATTATTTTAATGCAATGAGGCACATACTTTTTTAAATTTTAATTTAAAAAAATGATGATGAGAGACTGGGAAATTGAGACAGTATTTACCCCTATGAAGTTGTCTTCTTCAAACTCACTTAAAATTTCAGAGTCGGTATTTTTGCACGTTTGTATTACTTGACATGACCTTTAAATATCCAGCAAAAATCAAGTAGCATTCCAAGGGTACATGTCCTTGTCTTAGAATCATACTTGCAGCTTCAAATCTGGGGAGAAAGAATATTAAAAACATCTCTTCTGCAAAATGGCAAGTTTGAAGTCATTATTGGCTAACAAAATTCTGTCATCTTCATCTGTAAAGAATTTTACTTTTTATTAAGAAGCAATTATCATCCTATTCTGGTAAAGACCTTGAAGGCAGGGATCCTTGCCAACCTGTCCACTACTGTAGCATCAGTGCCTAGAATGGCACTTGGCTCAGAAAGTAGACACTCAATGAATATATATTGAGTGGATTTATGAATAGGCAAACAGAGGTGTCACACAACCACACAAGGTCTCCATACAAATTAATTCCTTAGATGAGTCCTGCTCTTTCACAAAATATAGGCATTTTAAAAAACTATTACTGCTGAATTCACAGTGTAAAGCCAGATCTTTGCATTTCTGAGGACATAAATTTGAGCTGACTTGCATTCCTTTTATCAAGACTTTTTAAAAGTACTATATACATAATCAGCTTTGTGAATCTGCTACTTTCCTCTAGTCACAGGTCTTCAGCCAGAGAACAGGAGTTTGTCCACCCTTAGCTTCTAGAAACAACTACCCATAGTAGTCATGCATGGTAAGCTCTAATCGACATAAAAATAACCTGGGACATTTGATTTTAAAAAGTCAAGACTCCTTAATACCCTGGAAATTCTGATTTGGTAGGTCTGGGATAGGCCCCAGGAACCTGTATACTTAAAAGGCTCTCCAGATCATTTTGATGAGGACCACTTTTAAGGAACATTGTATTTGAGGCTAAGAGCAAACATTATTTATTTTGTTTTTCTGATATGAGTAATTATTGTGAAGACCAGAACAGAACATGTTCTATGAAATATTGAGAAGTTCTATGAAATATTGGGATAATTTCTGATTTTTATTTAGTTAATTATGCTACCCAGAATTCTTTCTTCCTAGAAGAGCAGTTATAATTTCTATATTCTAAATTAGGCAGGTATCATTACAGAGAACATTAGTGGGAAAGAAGATGGCAGTTATTATATAACCAAAGACACCCCATCGCTGTGATATCAGTAAGAAAGTCTGAATTCTAGTCCTTGATGTACAATGAATTACTTAAATAATCTTAAGAAAATCACTTAACTTCCAAATCCCCGTTGATAAAATGGTAATAAACCTGTATCTACATTCCTCATAATAATGTTTTAGGGGAAAAACAGAATATGTAACAGTGATTTAAATTATTCAAAAGGAAGGTATTTTATAAACCAAATTGTGATTTTGCCCTACTTTAATAAGCCTGATGATGTGAAGGAGAATTAGAAGCAGGAAAAATCCCAGCAAAATAGCCATATATGTGGTAAGTAAGCCATAGTTCCATGGATGCTCATGAGTCAGAAGCAAAGACATGGGACTCATGAGTCAGAGACAAAGAACTTTACTAGTTGCAGCAAAAGGACCAAGAAGAGTATCAGTATTGCTGCATCAGTCCCCAAGTCCCTCAAGGCAATGGGGAGGGCTCAGTGGAGCCTGCATATGCAGTGGGGTGGGTAACAGGGGGGGAACCCTGAGCTCAGGGAATCTGCTGCTTTTCTAACAGGCAGTAAGCAAGCTGGTTTGTCTGGAGGGAGACCAGGTGCCATGAAGAAGTGCAATGCATTACTTTCTCAGGACTGCCAGCTGAATAAACAATTTTGAGAAATGGCCCAGGCAAAAGAACAGTCAAAGCCTTGGGATTTTGGCACATTCAGCAAGATGTGTAGGAACATAAGAGGCTCAAAGCAGACTGTCTCTCAACATATAGGGTGTAATGATACAAATGAATGGAATTTAAAAATAAAGTTAAATGGTTACTGAAAGAATTAAGGATTTTCATTCCAAAGGAAACAATACAAGGAGAAATTTCAAAATGCTATTTTCACTGCTTTTGGGAAGAGGATCACACAAGATCACAATGTGAAGACTCCTGACTTTCGATTGTTTATGTTAATAGACAGCAATTTTTAAAAACCACTACTTGAACTCTGTAGACTTGAAAAAAATACCAAAAATTCCTGAAGTAGCTGCCATATCACAGAAATATCCTCAAGATAATGACTGGTTTCTATGAACTAAGACTAGAACAGTCAACAGGACACCATAGAGTCATGAGAATGAGGCCAACAATAAGTAGGTGACGGAAAGGAAGGAGAAGCATGTGGAACTGAGAACTAATATATTTATGACAAGCACTGTAATGGAAAAGGTCTGGTATTCAAGACTCAACTGGGTTTAAAGCATCACAGAAAGAGCAGGAGGACTCCACATTCTGTTTTCTCGCCTCTATATTGTGAAAGTGTGGATGAGAGCCAGTCATTCTCAGCCAAGTTTTGAAGTGCATCATTTGGCTGCCAGATGCCCATTATACTAATTGGATCAGCAGTCTCCTCTCTATCTCACTGACACAAGGATTCCAGGGCTATCCATTTCTTCTACGGCATCAAAATTTAAGAATGCCACATATACAATAAACCATAAAATATTCACAAGGGCCTGTACTCTACTTTTTGTATTACTATTGTAACTCCAGAATGATCCTTCAGGAGCCTACATGAGTGATGTGAAGGAATGCCAATACTAAATAGGTTTCTCATGCTGAAACATTTAATTTTATACTTCCAGAGCACTTGATGCACTTGTGAATATTCATGGTTTGATTTGAATTATCATCTTCCTCAAAAATGTTTTCTTGTTAGGCATATAAATACAACTGCTCCAGCCTAACAAATACAGAAATCAGAGTATTTTTGTTAGGAACAGAAAAAGAAAGATTTAATACCTCCACATTCAAAAATAAAAGTGTCCTCATTAATATACATATGGCTATATATGTATATTATATATTGAACTCTAAGAAGAGCTTATGAACATTACTATTTGTAGATACACTGATTCATATTTGGTTTTGTTCTCCACTTGGATATTTTGAATAAATTTCAATATCAATCTTCACTAAATGAGCTAGTGCTTAATATAAGTAACTCTCCATTAAAATTTCTAAATATCCATGATTTTTAAGATGAGACTTCATGTTAATGATACATTTTAAACTTTTTCCAAGAAAGACTCACATACACAATAGATCTTGTATTAAACAGGGTTCTGGGTTGCAGACAACAGAATCCACTCTGATTGATTGAGAGAGAGGAAGAATTCACCACAGGTATTAGATAGCTTATAGAATCTTTGGAAAGGTTAGTGAAGTAGTTTCTAAGCCAAACTTCGAGGAATAACTTTGGTGAAAATGCTGAGCAGACCCCAGAACCAAAGTTTGTCTCCACCACAGTCAGGAAACTGGTGCTACCACATCTGAACAAAGAATCATGTGGTTTTCACTAGTTCCTGCATTAGCAAAACGGATGTTCCATGTCCTACCTCTTCACCCACATGTATTAATTGCAAACCAAATGTCATGAATGTGTATCTGTCAGAATCTAAACCAAGTATTTATAAAAGAAAGTGGGGAGGGTCTAGAAAAGGTAGTTTTTGTTATATTGTTTTGTTTTGGTTAATATGCTACACTGAGATGGTAAGGTTTACATTATGGAGAAATACCACAAAAATGTAGTTTTTTCAAAGGATTTTGGGCAACCCCAAATTGCAAATGTCAACTTCAACCTTTATCATAATATTCAGGGTAACTTACCTAACACATTTTGCATGTTTTTCCTTTTTCTAGATAAGCAAATGGACTGTTTTGGTAGTCCAGTCTTTTTTTTTTTTTTTTGGTATTTTGCTTATAAGTTTTAGCCTTTGTCCTAGTTTCAATCCTAGTTTCCCTCAGGTTGGTTTGAAAATTCATCACTACACTACAGTTCAAAGCACAAACCCCCAATTATTACATACTTCTTTTGGTCAATATTCAATTTGTAACATGTCTTTTGTCTTTAAAGTTTTGTTAAACTCTATTCACCATCGGCCACTGCTTTTCTTAGGGAACTGCCAAGATCCAAATGGAATATTTTTGTGTCACTTACTCTTGACAGATTATGGTCTGGCAAAGTTGGAGCTGTACTTCATTTGGCAAACTGTGAAATGACCTATTCTTCTTTAGACATAGTTAAAGTTTAAAAAAAAAAAAGAAGAGAAAAATATCAGTAATAGCCTAGAAAAGGGCTAAAGGAAAAAGATTATGATGCTTTGCAATTAGCTCAGACCCCTTCAATGTTTCTGATAACCAAGAGTAGATTTTATGTGTTCTCCAAAGTCTAGCCATTCTGTATGTGGTAGATATTGGTAACCAAAATCTTCCATATCTGGATTCATGAGAATTTGATACGATCCTAATAGAGTAAAACATCTCCTATGAAAGGGAAGGAGACATTGATACAATGAGTAGATGGTCTTCCTCAATATTCATAAAGTTCTGTGATGTTAGCTCCTAACCTCTGTGAAGAATTTGGTAAGGAATCCTTCAGGATGTAGCTTGCCCAGAAAAATAGTTAGCATAAATCATGGACCAGAAAAATAAAATCTGATGGTGTCCAGGAGTCCTTTACTGAAAGATACTTGAAGTGAAAAGTTCAAGTATGCCTTTTTTCCTTTTCCAAATTATTCGATTTTAATATGCATTAATATTGCACCTGCCTGCTATCACAGAGAAGGAACTGTTGAAGTGGCCACTAAATCTTTAAAACGTTTGCATTTTTAAAACATCTGAAAATAAAGATATGTTCATAACCCCCACTTCACACTGTATATAAACTCAAAAAATGGACCTATAATGTAAATATAAGACATAAAAATATTAAACCAGAAAATATAGGGGTAAACCTTCATGACCTTGGATTTGGTAATAGATTCTTAAATACAACACACAAGCAGCCATAGAAAAAATAAACTGGACTTCATCAAAACTTAAAAGTTTTTGCATCAAAGGACATTACCAAAGAAAGTGAAAAGACAACTAGTAGAATGGGAGACAATCCTTGCAATCATATATTTGACAATGGTTTAATACCCAGAATATATAAAGAACTCCCAACTAGATAGCAAAAAG